AATACTTTGGTTGACAAAAGGATTTGCTTTCGCACTTGAAGATTTGATTCCTGCAAGATTTCATTGAAAGAGAATTTCTTAGAAATCCCCTAATTTGGGCACAGATAACTTATCTTTTACCATATATTGAAAAGTTTAATTTAGTTTGATAAAATCTTATAAACTTAAGAGTTAAGAATAAGTTTTGAAGAAATCAGTAAGAAACAACTTTGCCAAAGTCAGATTAATAATTTGTAAGTTGACATATTTTGATAATTAATAGATATATTTTAATGAAATGAATTATAATTGGACCCTGTACTTCCTAGTTGAGATTCTGAAGGGATTAATATTCAAATCCATCCTCATCACTGTAAATTGTGCAAGTAGTAGCAAATAAAATATAAATTTACATTAAAAAATGGTATATTTGAATTAGAATAATAGTATATTCTATGTATTGTCAAAAAAATCATCCATTTTTAATTGAAAAGTTCACTTTCAAAGTATAGGGGTTCATTTAGTTTTTCCTCATGATTCATGAACCTAGACTTTTGGACCAAAATCAAAACATTTAGATTTACCATTTCTTATGTTTTGCAGGCAGAAGAAATATTATTTTTATCCAATGATTAACATGTATTTACATCATGGAGGGACCACCACCAATCATTCTACAATGACACCAAACAAATGCTGTAGAAAATAGCTAGTGACCGAAATTGTTGTGCACAGTATATTCCCTGTAAGCCTCACTTCTCTTTCTTTCTTTCTTTCTTTTCTTTTTCTTTTTTTCTTTTTTTTTTGAAGGCACCAGGGTGGTTTTTTAGTTAGTTTTTATTTTTTTAATAAGTCAAGATTAATTGCTATTTAAATAATATATTCAAATTGCACCCTCATAACAACTTAGTACATTTAAATAAATTAATTTTTTTAAATGTTAATATTAAGACTTAAAACTTTAAACATAATCTATAAAACAACACTTTCTAGTAAATCAAACCTGTAAGTTTTGCAAACTTCACCACGACAACAACTAAAAATAAGTAAAATTTTGAGTGCATCTTATTATTTTCAGACGCCCCTAGGCCCTAATGTGTTGAAATGTGTTAGATGGGTTACGCAAATTAAAATTAATGGTGTTTTCTAAGAGGATCCTAATAGGTACACCCACTAGTTCAACATCTAGTAAGACACATCCTATAAAATATGTTTTATTAATTAGTTTAGAATAAGGGCTGAAATATTGTACCCCGTAATTATTCACGTAGACATTGTCTATTCTCATTACCAAACAAATTGAAAATAGGTGCCTCCCCTGTTCATCTTCTTCCCCCATGAACCCAACATTTTTCCAATTCCTTTCTTCTATCCATTTTCAGCTACTTTCTCTTCCCCCTCCCTTGTTGTGACTGGTTTGCATGCATACAGTGTTGTGTTTGCACAAACCCAGATGATTTGGGTGGGATAGATCTAGGTTCCTTGTGAATCCAGATCTAAACCAACATACAAACCAATAGACATTGTCTATTGTCATTACAAAACATATTGGAAATACATGCCTCCGATGTTCATCTTCTTCCCCGTGAACCCAACACTTTTCCAATACCTTTCCTTTACCCATTTTCAACAACATTTCTCACACAAATCAATAGACATCGTCTATTCTCATTACCAAACAAATTGGAAATAGGTGCCTCCCTTATTCATCTTCTTCCCTATGAACCCAGCACTTTTTCAATACCTTTCTTCTACCCATTTTCGGCTACATTTCTCTTCCCCCCTCCCTTGTTGTGATTAGGTTTGCGCAAACACAATCCTATGTTTACACAAACCCAAATGATTAGGGTTCAATACAGGTCCAAGTTCCTTGCAAACCTAGATCTAGCCCAACACATGAACCAAGCACACGAACTCACTAGATTTCAAGCAAAGCTCCTTCCCTTCTGTCTATTCCGAACAAGTTAAGGATAAGACTTATCTCAAATAAATGTGGTTTTTTTTTTTAGCTAAACTGTGAGTGTGTGGAATAATGTGTCAGTTCATTGGGTAACCATATCATTCCCTTTTCTAAGAACATGAGAAAATATACCCAAATATATATATGTGTGTGTGTGTGTGTGTCATCTTTCTGTTATCCCTCAGTCACTAAAGGGATAGTAGGATCCGTAACTAAAAACGTATGTCAAGTCTGGAAGGGCGTACGGCTCCCCTAACAAAGCTTAGTCTAGGTTAGCTTTAAAGGGACTTAAGGTGAACAACTCACCTTTGATAATACATGCCTAAGCCAAGGTTCAAATGCAACACCCAATTAACTTTGTAGCCAAGCAGTGGTGGAGCTAGAAAAAAATTTTACAGAGGGCAAAAATAAAACATTGATAAATAAATGGATTAAAATTGTATAAAATAAATAAATATGTAAAGATGAAAAAATATTAATGGACTATATTAATGAACTTTTCAAATGTTTAGAGGGGCCTGACCCCGATCCCTAAAACCTCTAACTCTATCAGTGTGGGCAAGGGAAAGGACATGGGCTCCAAGACTAAATAACATGCTAGACACCAATCACACCATAATATCTCTTCTTTTTTTCTCCACTTCCTCACTCCTCTACCTATCACCAAAATATTGCTCATATATGACTTGAGCATTAGAGTACGTAACCTAAAGATAACGTCCCACACAAACTAATTATGAACCAACGTACTCAATTTAATATATTTTTAATTTTATATAATAATAATTTTTTAATAAGTGTGTAGTGTAGTGTATTGAATTAAAGTATACATCAATTACTATAAGAATGAACCCTTCTTCTCATGCACATGAAGCTTAGACAGATTCACCCGCTAAAAATTCTAGTTCTATCCTCAAATCTAGGTTTCAAGATTATCATTTTCAACTGTATCTAAGGTGATTTCCTTGGCATTGTATAGGTTTCACTCTCTAATTACATATAAATTTGCAGTATGTGAATTTTGAGAGCAAATTCAATGAAAACTTGTATAAATTTAGACAAAAATATAATTTGTTCCTAAAACCCCTCTTTATAATTAGGCAAAAAGGTATCTTAGTCCATGTACTTCTTGACCTACTTGAAATCCACTCCTCAACTTTTTTTTTGAAATTTTTAACCTTCATACTTTAGTCTTGAAATAAATTAACCCACATAATTTTTTATTGAAATAAAATAGTCCAAAGTTAACAGATGACATCATGCCATGTCACATTTTCATGAAATCCATTTCAACTGTGTTATGTTGTGAAATAAGTCAACCCACGCACCTTTCAAGTTATTTGAAATCCACCCCTTTATTTATTTATTTTTTGAAAATTTTTAGCTCACTTTTTAATTGAAATAAATCAACCTAAACTTTCATGAAATCCATTTCAAACCAATAAGGTTTGAAGAATTGGCAAGCGTGAGTCTAATTTTTTGTTATATAGATTATTTTTAATCCCAATTGGACATATGTTGATAGTAATAAAAATACATTTTTTAATCTCTTCATTTAATGACAAAAATACCCTTTTTTCCTCTGTTTTTAAATTGGGAATTTGGGACTTGGCTATACTTTTCTAATTGCGTCTTCTTCTTCTCATTCACAATCATTTTAACTAATACATTGGCTTTGAGTGATATCAAGTACCTAAATTACTTGCTTCAGAATTGACACAACCTTATCAAACCTCCTTAGGCTATAATAAATCGCGATGAGTATGTGCAATCTCATGACAACATCTAAGTTGGGTTATAGTTCAACTTGGCACCTCTTGAAGAATTTGGCCACTCAATGGCATAATCTAGAGCCTCAGTAAGACTCTCACTAGATACAATGGTACTTAATTCTCAGGATTCTAAAGGAGGAGATTTAGGGCTTGTAAAAACAACAATATAGTAAATCAAATCTTGGGTCCCAAAAATGATCGTGAATGAGAATAAAAAAGTATTTTTATCATTGGACAAACAGATTAAAAGAATACATTTTTATTGCTATGCCATCAACATATGTCCAACTTGATTAAAAATAATCCATCACACAAAAAAGGGACTCATGTGTGCCAAATTATTAAGAAAAAATGGGCTTGAAATGGATTTCACAAAAATGTGACATGGCATGATGTCATCTATTAAATTTGGACTGATTTATTTTAATAAGAAAGTATATGGATTGATTTATTTCAACATAAAAATATATAGATTGAAATTTTCAAAAAAAGGTAGAGAGGTGGATTTCAAGTCAAAAAATATATGAATTGATCTATTTCATGACATAATGGATTTAAAATAGATTTCACATACATGTGACGTGGCATGATATCATATGTTAATTTTTAGTTGATTTATTTTGATTAAAAAATATGTAGATTGATTTATTTCAATAGTAAAGTCTAAAAATCAAAAAACTCCCAAGAAAAGTTGAAGGGTAAATTTCAAGTAGTTCAAAAAATACATAAACTAATATATCTTTTTCACCTTATGATTATTTCAAATATCTTTATCACATTTCCATCACAAAAAGAAATTATTTTGACAATGGATTTTTTTTAAAAATTTAACAAAAGAAAAGCTAAATAAATAGAAAAGGGCGGTGTACAATTCAAGTGGTTTCAATATAGTTTTAAAAAAATGGAAAATTAAATATACATTCCAAACGAAGGCCAAATATATATATATATATATATATAT